CGATGATTCTCTTCCGGTAACCTAGATCTTTCTCTAGAAGAAGACAGGCAACTTGAGAAACTTTCCTATGATGTCCTCTGTATAAAGTGGAACTTCAAAATAAGTTCTGATGCCAGCACTACCTAAGCTTTTCCGATGAGGAAGTGACATCCTCTGTGGGTCCCTGAATCCCCATTCTTCATCACCCGCTGGAGAGGAGAAGGTGCGCAGGATGGTAATCAGATCCTTCTTTGGTATTAGAATAGGCACTCAGAGGAGACTTGATGTTCTCTAGGCTCTGCTTTCCCAGGAGCACTTTAAGGATCTTGGGTGAGAAAGGGGAAAAACAGTTTGTACTTTTTTAGTTTCAATGCCTCAGGACAGAGATACAGGTGCTATTGAAGACTGGGCTGGGGCGGGGCTCTTGTTCTGAGAACAATGATATCCGAGTGCTAGATAATTGTCACCTATCATCCTGCCATTATTCCTCCATTACCCTTCCATTTATCTATCCAACTCTTGCATTCAATGGCTTCCCCTCTAGCGGCTCAGTCCTTATGCTGGGTGCTAAAGCTGAATACGTAGTAGAGGGAACTCAAGGCCTTTGCATTTAGAATGGATCAGATTTGAGCTCATGGGGCCTAACTTTTCTAAATTCTTTGCTCCCTTTTTAAAATCATTGTTTTGAAAGTCAAATAAGAAAATGTTCTTTTCTTTCTTTCTTTCTTTCTTTCTTTCTTTCTTTCTTTCTTTCCTTTACCTTCACCTTACTCCACATTTACTGTGCTTCCAAGAATTTGATGGACCCTTGACCAGGCAGTGAGAATATAAAGGAGAAGAAAAATGCAAACCCTGCCTCTATGACTTTAAGAATATAAACTCACATTTTAATTGGGGGGGGGGTACTAAGCAAATATATGGAAGATGGTGAAGATGTAATTAAACTGATACTCATGGTTCTGTTCAATTATGTAGCAGTCCTATTATGATCCCTGAAATGGAAGACTTCATATGAAATTTTGGGCTTGCTTGTTGCACCCCTGACACGATGCTTCTTCAGCCAGGCCACCATGAATGACCAGAGGGATTGGAGATTCATCTGGTTGTTGATATGACATCTTGGGTGGGGGGGAAGTTGAGAATCAAAATCAAAGCCGCTTTGGGAATTGGTATCTAAGTTTCCTCTCCGACCTCCTCTTCCTCTCTGAATTCCAGGACCTTGGCTTACGGGCACACACCTGCCACTGTGACGTTGTGGAAACAAAATTATCATTATATCAGGCTCCTTGAAGCCTTGTGTTTATGGACTCTCCTGTCATTGCTTAATTTTAATCAGATCCCAACTCTGCACCTTGGTTTCAAAATTCCATGTAACATGGCCCTGCCTTGTTTTCTATTCTTACTTCTTGCTGCCTCTCTTCTCCTCCGCTTGGGCTCTGGGCCCCTTAAACATTTTTCATTTCTCTAACTTGGCACGCTCTGTCTTATCTCCGGATCTTCATCGCCACTGTCACCTGGGCCTGGCGGGCATCTCCTCCCTCCCTGGGACCTGGAGTTTTAATCATTACTTCTCTGGCGAGGCTGTTTCTCTCCCTTGGCACTGCACTTTCTGGGCAAAGGAAAATGTCTATACACTCTCACAGTCCTCTGTTCTTATCATCACCACTGGAGCACGCGTATGAATCCAGGAAGTCTCCTCCAAAGCACGTGCTGTTACGATTGTCACTTGCTGCTAGTGCATTCTGTGGACAAGTTTCCTAAAAATTTCCGCATCTCACTCGTTTCATTGGTGAATGGAGAAATAGTCTCTAGTGTGCTGTGAGAACACTGTTATATTTATACATAGGATATGTTTATCAAATAAATAGTCAATGTAAATAATAATAATAATAACTGTTGTTATTATTATGCTTATAAATGTTGTTTACTAGTTTACCTCCCCTAGCTAGGGGTCTTCGAGGGCGGAGCCTGCCCATGCTTCCTAGGCACATGCTCTGAGCATGTTTAATAAATGAATGGATGCATCTTCTTGTATCACAGCCAGACCTAGGAGACTGCTACCCCAGGCCCATTGGCATGTGGCCTTTGTCCTGCTCTAATTAGCAGAAGCAGCTCTTGGGAGAGATGGTCCTCACACTTCTAGATGATGTACAACGCGTGGCCATTTTGGTCCATTTGAGGGTATCTTCGGCCCCATAATCTCACAGAGGGTCCTAAGTTGGGATACACTGATAGGAGCAGGGCTGACTCATTTAAGGGAGCAGATCCTGACGGACTATGTACCATGGATCCTTCTGAGGTCCAGGCCCAGAGACTTACGAGCATTTGATGCCTGTCAATTGCTGTCCCTGCACACCCACAGTGTTTTATTTGTAATGCCAAGTTGGTTGCTTGAACAAGCCATGTGCAAATGTATGTGTGTGCATGAGAGAGAGATACACATATAATAGGACAAAACGAATGAACAGAGAAACACAATATTCTATCTTCCATGGTTACCATTAGCCCAGAGATGTGGATTTTACTGAGATTTTGCTAAATATGAATTTTCGGAAGAAAGAGGAAGTCTATAGTGTTTACTTGTTTTTTTCTTTCCCTGCTTTTTGGAAGTCTTGGGATCTTGCTGTCACTTAGGTTGCAGCTGGGCTTATCACAGTGTTTTTCAACACTTGTGTATGGTTGAATGTGACATGAAGTAAAATGATTTTCGTTACCGCACACTTAATATGTCCGCCTCCATTTTTCTCTCTTTTTCAAATAGATTCTAAATTCTATTTAAATAGAATTCTAAAATCAATTCTTCAGGGTAGATGTTTCATCTCCATATTATAGGCAGAAAAACTGAAGGCCCCCCCCAAAAAGTGTTAATTTCTCCAGTTTATATAGGTAGAGAGGCCTGAATCTTAGCTTTGTGTCTTTCTCTTTCCAAGCACTGCTTTTCTCTTCTTCTCTCTCAGTTCTTTCTACACACAACGGACCATCAACACCTTAATTAAGATTATAATTATAATTTGATAATTGATAAATATTATAATAATGTGGAACAAATAAGTTCTAACATGATGGCAACACTGTTTTGAAGGACTTAATTTTTAAGAGCAAAAATACTATAGATTAGTGTAACATGCACCCATACCTTGTGTGTCTCCCCAACACTTTGTATGTAAATGGGAACCTTCAAGAATGATATATTATTCAAATATTCTTTTATTTTAATAAAAATGCTAATAGACATGTTAAAATGCACATAAATTAAAATGATCATAAATTAGGATTAATATCACATTAATGAATTATAATCCCACATTCATTAAGATAAAGTGGCATTTCAATATTTGCTCTTGTTAATAAATTTGATACAATAAATGAAAGGGATACAGTTCGAGATTCAATAAATATTTGATGTAATCTTAGGCTTTAACTTTTTAAAATATTCAAAAATAAAGTAGGAGATCTAGATGCATTTAAATTTTTTGTTACTATTTTATGTCTTTTTTATAATCTATTCTTTTCACTTATTGAAGCGCTAAATACAATTTAATTGGCAAAGGAAGCGATAGAGGCTGTTCTGAATAACTGTGGTCCCAAGAGGATACAGTGTCTTTCGAGTTTCCAGGAGTTTCTTTCTACAAGACAGTTTATTTTTTTAAAGGAATAAATATTTGGAATCTCATGGTGTAATAAGTGGAACTATATTGACATTTAAATAACTGAATTAAACTGAAAAAATGTGCGCTTTGTATTTTCCAACTATAATTTAATGACTTTCTTTTAAAAAAACAAACTAAAAATAAAAATGCTTACTTTATTTTAGTTCATTAAAAACAGGAGTCAACATAAAATTAAAGGCAGCACCAGGCATCAGAGCACCCCTGTCTCCCGCTTGAGAGTAAACTGAACATGTTATTTTTATTTTTGTAATCCTTGCCCGAGGATGTGTTTTTATTGATTTTAGAGAGAGAAAGGGGGAGAGAGAGAGAAACACTAATGTGAGAGAGAAACATCAATCGGTTGCCTCCTGTATGCTCCCCAACCTGGGATCGAACCCGCAACCTCGGTATGCGCATGCCTTGACTGGGAGTCGAACCCACAGTCTTTTTGGTGTATGGGATGACACGCCAACCAAATGAGCCACCTGGCCAGGGCTAAACTGTACAGTTTAAAGCCAGTGATGCTACACCTACCAAAATGGTTCAGGTAGGGTAGGTGTCAACAAATATCCGTCGCTGTGGCCTGAGATGCATCTGGATCCCTGCTGCAACGCTCTTCTTTTTCTAAGCATTCTTATTTAGGGAAAACATGCTCCCCTACTCTGGCCTCAGTGTTCTACTGTATAAAAAGGGAATAATTTTCCTGGATGAAAAGACTTGTATGAAACAAAGTAAAAAGCACCCTAGACAAACATAAGATTTTACTGTATGTCAAATTGATTAGAATTATTTTTGTTTTTATAAATGTAACAGGCAGGTCTGAGTAGAGTTCAGAGTCTGCCATGCTTGATTCTACACTGTGAACCCTGGGGAGGTTATCATGTGCCTGGTCAAACCTCCTTTCTGTCAAGTCTCATATGAAATATTTTCATTCATTTATGCTTTGGTAAAAATTAAGGGAATTATATGAGAAGCAATTCACAGAGTTCTTGGTAGACAAATAGTGATCCATAAAAGGTAGCCAATAATGACAACTTTAAATAAATATATTCATAAATTGAAAAGAATAAATTTTTAAAAAATTTTTCCTTCATCTTTTTTATGATTCAAAATGTGTGTCAGATTATACTAAACAGGTCAGAGTATTTTTTGTAACCATTCAAACTTGTCTGTAAGAATTTCATTATGTTTTATTTTGATGTACATGCATACAGTTGCATAGACTCTTTGTTCAGCTACTGTTAGCAGAAATTGATGAAGTCACAATTAACATAAAAAGAACCAACCAGGCATTCAAACAGGAGGTAGTTAAAAAAAAATAATAAGGTTGCAAATTGTCCCATCACTAACAGATGTCACTTTTCATTTCAGCTACACACAGACCTGGATCCTGGGAGCAAAAAGATCAAGTATATCCTATCTGGCGATGGAGCTGGGACAATCTTTCAAATAAATGATATAACAGGAGATATCCACGCCATAAAAAGACTTGATCGAGAGGAAAAGGCCGAGTACACCCTAACGGCTCAGGCAGTGGACTGGGAGACCAACAAGCCCCTTGAGCCTCCTTCTGAATTTATTATTAAAGTTCAAGACATCAACGACAATGCTCCCGAGTTCCTTAATGGGCCTTATCATGCTACCGTGCCGGAGATGTCCATTTTGGGTATGTAAGCTTCCAATTTCTCAGAACTATGAAGAGTCATCTTTAAAACAGCCCCTGGTCTCAGGGATAGTATATTGCTGAATAAAAGACATTTACTACTGTCTTATCTCTAATTTGCATTTCCAAATCCCCTTTCTTGGCCTCACTGCCACAGCTCAATAGCTCTAGTCCCTTAGTAATAGGAACTGACGAAGCAGTTTTATTAAAATATCTCTTTTTGCATGACAGTACTTCAATTGGCTGAATTTGTATGCCTCTCATAGGCTTGTAGTTGAAGTATTGTTACTGAGGCGGATTTATCAAGATTTGTTCCAACATGCCAGACTAATCCTATTGATATTTGCTTGATGTTTAATTATTTGTTTGTGTGTATTCATAGGCAGATGCGGTGCGTAGGGAAATAGAGAAACGTCTAGGTCTGTAGTCAGCCAGATATTGAATTGAGCTGGTGGGTTGAGTCTAGAGTGGATTAGGAAATCAGTCACCAGAGACTTCTGTGCTGTGGCTGTCTTACCTTAACTGTTTTTTAGGAGTGCTACCGTCACCAAAGACCCACTCTCAATTTTTCTGAGCCATTGAAGTGCCTATTACATTTTAAAGAGCAGTATATATTTCAGAACATGATTTTCTACTCCTTCTTTTTTTGTTTGATCTGCTTCTCTCTCCCCCAACCCTGGCCTTGATCCTGGAAAAACCCCTGATCCCAGACTTGAACTGTAGAGCTCTCCCTTATCTGATGAAATTAGTGGGTAGGGTCCAAAATTCAGAGTACAAAAGCCCAAAGTCATTCATATGTGTGGAATATAGACCTTACTTAGTTTTAAATTATAGCTAGGACAACCTATAAGGATACATACATCAAAATTAAAGTACAACAAAAGTACATAAATTCGAAGCAGGAGAACATGAGACAAATAAAAACCACAAGTAAAGACATAAATTGAAGGTCAGAATTAGGTACATAGTTTGACTTTATTTGATATCTTCTTTCTTACTCACAATGTAAGTCTGGTAGATATAGCCACTGCAGCAACAAATCAGAATTGATGGTGGGCTGTCACATCTTACCCAGGTTTTGCTCTGCCAAGAGTCTATTTTGTCTATCTCTTGTGCAAGAAACTCTGCTTTTATTTATTTTTCTTCTTTCAAGATCCCATGGCTCCTCTATGATTGACTGAAATCACACTTTTTCTAGGGAAACTTCTATGGCTTTCTAGCAGAAAGTTAGTCTCTCTACCATTACTATTACCACAAAAAGAAACCCACAAACAAGCAAAAGGATCTCCATGGGTTTACTTCTTTCAAATCCTGACATGCAAACAGAAACTGACAGACACTAGATCCTTCTTTTTTTTGTTCTTGTTTGATCACTCATTTAGGGCAGAGAACTTGCCTCATTCACCTCCTCATACAGATTAGAGCAACATGGTTTTAGAGGAAGATCGGCACCCTCAATACACAAAGAACCCTTTATTTTAATTGCTAGCAAGCGGTGAAGAGGGAAGTTGTTATTTTTGCCTCGTTATTACGATTTGTACATCTTAATGGCCAAGTCTATATCTATTTATTGTAAATGTGTCAGAGGCTTCCATTTCTGTGTATATGAGTCATGTGCCTGTTAAATATTTTGAGAAAGAAGTTCCCCACTCCAGCTTCAGCAGACTCCAAGGTCAATTTCAGCCAAGGAAAGGATCCGTAAAGATATTATTAGCTATGCTATGCAACATGTATGTGCCCCTATAAATACACAATATATAATGTTTTCCTAGCTTAAAGATTTTTTCTTGATTGGAGAGTAGAGACTAGAAGAAATAACCTACACTAACATACACGGTTATTTTTTTCTTTAAAAAATGTTATGACATCTCTTTCAAAAACTGCATGGATTGTGCTACAGTTCAAAGTGTGGGTTTGGAAGTTAGGTAGAGAGAGTTTTGAATCCTGGTTTTATCCCTTATTATCCAGCTGACTTTCAAGTTCAGGGAGGTTAAATTATTGCTCATTTTCCTTAACTACAAAGCAAAATAATAATTTCCATCTTGCTTTCATCACGTGAGAATTGTGTGGTAACATAACAGGTCAAGGTGTTCCAGAAAATAAACAAGCATTCAATATCAACCGGTTGTTGTGGTGGCTTTCAAAAATTATTTTTATTAATCTCTTTCCCACCTTCCATGTGGACTTTTCCTTACGTATCGATTTTATGCTTTGGGTGTGTGGTTGCTGTTTGACTCCAGCCTCTCTGGTTAAAGGAAGCAGAGGCAGCTGCACTATTTTATTGTCAAGTGTGAATTATTCCCTTCATTTCTCACGAAGGTGAATATCAGGATGAAGGTCACTCCTATCTCCTTTCTCTCCTCACTGCTCTCTCTCAGCCTGTCTCTTCCCTCCCCTCCTTCCTCCTTTCATTTTTCTTCCTTTGCTGCTGCAGAAATGCCAGCCCCTGCACCTGTGTGCCCCGAGGAATGCCAGCCAGGACCGGGAGAGCTTATTGTGCAGAATGCGAAAAATAAACTTCTAATTGAGAAATTTACCGATATTAAATTGAAATGAATGCGATGTTCAAGAACTGGCTGCCAGTTGACAGGCTGTCAAGACAAAACACACATATATGTTTGCCCAAATGGCAGCTAAATTATTTTAGAAATATCTTATTTGGGAGCTGGAGATACAGCTCTTTTATATTTGACTGTGAATTGCAGAACTTGATGAGAGTTCACTTTTATAGTGATGCAACATAGAGAGCAATGTGCGAGCTTGTCTGATTTTTACTGTGGTTACCAAGCTAGTTCTGTTGAAGTCAGTTATTCAAGGAAAATGTACCTGTATTTATCAATTTTCAGGAAGTTTAAGTAGATATTTTTAATGTGTTTAACCCTGATTTTATGCGTACACCTGGGTTGAGGTAAAATAAGCTTTTTATTTGATTTTAAAATGGAATCTCAGATTTTTTGGCCTGAAATTTGCCTTCTGCTAGCGTAAGCCATGTAATCTCACTTTCTCCATCTGTGTAATGTAATAGCAATCTCTACCTAAAAACCTATGTTTGGAAAAGCTCAGTGGTTATTTGTAAAGCATTGGATGTCGCATGGAGTTGACACCCAAAAAGAGATTCATTTCTTTCCAACTGTATATTTGCAAGTCTTACTGGTGCGAATCCAAAAATTGCCTATATGATATAAATTGCCTATGTAATATGAATGCTCGAGAGCCTTCACTTTATGTTTCACAAATGTACATATTAGAATGAACTTACTTTATTCAAAAGAGAATATTCTTGAAGGTTGAAGTAAAGAGATGAGAAAGCCAAGTACAGTATTCTCACCTCATCAGCAGTGGATACATTTCAAGACCCCTAATGGATGCCTGTAGCAGGGAAGAGTACTGAGCCTTTAACGCCCTATGTTTTTTCCTAAACATCCATACCTATGATAAAGTGTACTTCCTAAATTTGCCACAGTTACAGATTAACATCAGTAACTAACAATAAAATAGAATAACTGTATCAAGGTAGTTTAATAAAAGTTTTGTCAAGGTAGTCTCTCTGAAAATATCTGGAATTTCCCATTTAATATTTTCCAACCACAGTTGACTACAAGTAACAGAACCCATGAAAAGCAAAACTACGGGTAAAGAGGAACCAACTTTTGCAGCGCTGAAGCTGGCAGGCATTATTGCATTGTTGAGCGCACAGTTATATAAAGCATGATGTCTGAGATTTTCTCAGTTTGCTTTTAGATTCAGGGTCCCTCTAGTAATGATTGATATGTACTGAAAAGTCGCTTTATGCCAGAAGCTATGTTAAATGCTTCTAATATCCACAACAATCCTACAACATTAGTAGTGCTATTAACTTCCCTACTTCTCATTATTTTTAAATCAGTAAATGGGGGAAATTATAGCTAATCCAAATCCAGATATTAAGTGGAGGAGCAGGGATTTAAACTTAGACCTTCGACTCTACCTCCCCTGGGTTTAACCAGTATGCTTGACTAATCTTGCATAATATCTCTGGGGAGCTGGGTTTATGTGAGCGCTACGATTCCGCTGCATAGTAATAACCGTTAATGTTTTTCCAAGGTGGAAGTGCTCTGGGGGCCAGCATACTTTGCAAACTGAATTTAAAAACTGGGATGGGATTTGGATAAGGAGAAGTATGGGAGAAGTTTTACACAATTGTCAAGATAGGAATATAAGCACTTTAAAAATGTAAGAACAATACATCACACAGTAATTTAAAACAATGAAATTAATTAAGAATAATGTGGTGAATAACTGGGGGCCAAAGTGCCATTAATACGCTAAAGGTAAAGACCAAAGAGAATAACTGGGATCTACTCTAGATAATGCAAAAGGAGAATGCATGCTCCACAAAACAATAATGGCCAAAATAGCAGCGGTTCAAGAAATGACTTAGTAAAAAATATGTCTAAGAGGCTTATAACTGAAGAGGTTATGAAAGTCAGTACACAATATACAACGGAACACACTCTTCTTAAAGGGTAACTCAGCCGAAAGGAAAATGTGCAAATTTGAAAATAATTTAAGGCTCTTTCCTTCTATGTGGTGTTCTCATTCTTCTGTCTTCTCTTATCTTTAATATTATGCCTTTTCTTTGTGAGTCTGTCCTTTTATTCTAAACATCCTTAAATTCTCATTTGGCAGAAGGCCCGTGTAAAATACATTCTATTGCTTTTCTATGTTTTTATTACCTTTCATTTGGGAAACATTTTATCTTAGAGAAAAGTTGCAAATGCAGTTGTCCAAATCTGTTTTTCCCAAACTGTTGGAGAGTAGGTGGCTGATACGAAGCCCATCACCATGAGATGCCTCAGGAAGTCCTTCCCACATGGACATTTCTCTACACAGCACAATACAAGCACCAAAATAAGGAAATTCATTTTGCTGCACTATTGCTATGGAATGCACCACCCTCAGTAAAGTATCTCCAATTGTCCCAACAATGTTCTTTACAGTAAAAGGATCAAATTCATGCATTA